TTTTTTTGGCTCACGTTAAGGTGTTATGTATTGGAGCTCTGCATGGCTGTGTGTGTTGCACGCTGTTGGCGTGTGGCATCACTTGTTAAACGACCTTGTTTTTGTGACAACTCAAGTGCTGTTTGTTGAATCTCTCTCAAACTTCCGGTAGGAAGTACCAAAGGCTGGTCAGTTTCTGGTGGCTTGTTTGTTTCTGGTCTAAAAAAGTACTTTCAAATAATAATGCTATACATTACGATAAAGTTAATTCAACTATTTTAAATTGGAGACAGGGATTCTCGAATACGACGTTGTTGTGTAATACTACATTATACGATTAAATTACTAAATGCGGCATTACTGTAAATTGCATGTCGTTGAGATTAATGAGAAAGTGTGACCTTGTTGTATGTTACGTAAAAACTAGATTTATGCCAAAAAGTGACTATCTTTATTTTATATTATTACAACATGAAATAATAACAAGTAAAGACGTTGTAAATGACACAGAACAAGTCCAGAATAACACTTGGAGCCGGGTATTTCCACCATGACCCTGGCTGCCAGGGAATGAGCTCTGAGTGACGGCGGCAAAGTGTACGACTGTAGGCCAGGGAGCGGTCGGCGATGAAACCCTAGTCGTCGGGGAGACGCCAGCCTTATTAGTTGCTTCCCTGACGGCCCAGTAGACTGGCAGTCAGCCAAACCTTTATGTAGGCCGAAGAAGGGTTTGGCTTTACGCACCCGACCTCGTCTCCGTGTGTGGAGGAAAAAGTTTTCACCGCGGCATGAAGCAAGTCGCGTGCATTGATATGAATTTCCAGCAATCGGGACACGTGCCTTCTCTGGTAGACTGTGGCTGGCCTTCTGACCCGCCTGCCACAAGATATCGCAGTGACAGGCCAATGAGAACGGAACAGAAACAGAAGAAACGTATACTGTAAATAAACTTCATAAGCTGAAACTTGAAGATTTCGTCTCAATTCTTTTTTCAACAGATATCGTTAATGTTAGAACTTAGTTTTTTCCTTGTCATTTCATGATCATCTCACCGTAGAGAATCAATATTAAGACGAATACATTGTCGAAGCGAAGTTTTTGTTGGCTCATAAATGAATAAGATAAATTTGTAGAACATACCAAGGCTTGAAGGACTTTTATCTGTTACAGTACATACGAAAGTATTTGGAGTGGCATCATTATTTTCAAGAGAATATTAATAACATTTAAAAGTTTTTTTTCCTTATCTAAGCATCAGCAATACACGAATTTGAAATGAACATTGGTCACAAGTGGTCGATTTAATATGTTAAAGAGGAACACAACGTTCGTACAAGTACATAATCTTAGTATGTCTAAAAAAAAAGAGAAACGTTCGTACAAGTTCGTGATTTTAATATGTTTAAGAGAAACAGAAACGTTCATTCAGGTTTGTGTGATTTAAAGTTTAGATGAACATGTGTATTTAGGTTTTAATCAATTTGTGAAACTTGTGGGTTTTATGACGTTGCTTGCTATAAATCTTATTACATCTTTCCAGTCCAGCTAGATTTTAAGATTGATCAGTTGAGGAAACTTGATTTTTTCTTTGTCTCACGAATCGGGCTTGGCGTGACCTAATGGCTAACGTGCCGGTCCGTGAAGCTGAGGGGCCATGGCTTGCACCCCGTTGCCAAAAAAAAATCGTTCTCACGCATCATGGAACCGCAGGTGCGGTTATAACAGTAACGGTGATCGGACAAGAGGTTATAACAGTAACGGTGATCGGACAAGAGTTGACAGTAGATGCTATTGACTACCTACCTACTTTCTAAGTTATGAGATCAAACTTATGGACTGTTAGCACAAATAGCTTTTGAGTAGCTTTGAGCGAATATCGAAAAAACAACAACAGCAGTTAACTATCACGAACATTAGGCGTCCAGAAAATAAATCCGGTATATATTACTTTGCTGAAATCGGTTATATCTTCTATCTTTTTTAAACTTTTTGAATAAAATCGTCCAATACTCTTGACAAAAAATACTAAATCCATAACGTGTAATTAGGATATCCACTTGTAAAGAGTAACTGGGGTTTCCTTATTGTTCTTACAGTTTTTCAGAGTCCTAGAGAACGCGTCTTAAGGGTTAAATAAAACATTTTACAGGGGCATTTTCCGCTTAAAATTTATTACATATACGTAATATAAAGCTTAATAAACTACATTGGAAAGTCATTATAGAAATTTCAGGTAGGCATGCGTATTAATACGATGTGAAAAAGCGATTGTTTATAATTAGAAATATGCACTATGTTGTAATTTAATATGGTACCAAAGTGTTTTTAATTTCATGACATGATTGTTCTAAAAATGTCTTGTTTATTGTGTTATCTCGTGATAAAAGTAATTGTATTTTATCAACAAGTTTCTTCGAGTTATATAATTGCAAACGGTTACACTTTATGTATGCAGCCTAAATCGTTATCGTGTTAATACACCCATTTTTCATTTTAGTTTTCACTATGTGATGCCCTCTGGTGAAAATAACTGAACATACCTCAAGTTTTTTATACTCAAATACACTGAGCTTCGTAATAATACACTTAATCATTCTGAGATATCCCATTAACCACATAATGTATTTTACTTACCCGTTGAGAAAAAAAAGCAAGTATTTATAGGTAAAACTATTCGGTTTCCATTCATGCAACTCTAAAATATTAGAGAGGCCTCTAAGTTTTTCTTCCTAAGCGATTTGTTTATAGCTTAAAAATAATTTGATTTTTTCGGCTACCTCATGAACATAAATAAGCAAAATTACTACGTAGTACAAAGAAATTTTAAGAAATGTCTAAACCAGCGCCCCCTTCTGGGAAAATATGATATTATATTATAATAATTTTGTATCCTTTTCACAGAATATGAGCATCATAATTCTCTTCATTATACACATAAACACACACACCATCGCTATTTTAGAATTTCTATATTCTCAGTAAGTAATCTAAAATGTTTTAGATTACTTGTTTCTAAATTTCCCGATAACTATAATGATAACTTAATACGTTTTAGGCCTTCAAATGATCTCCTAAGTTACTATAAATCCGTCACTTATAAAGTTTCTAACTTATCATTAACTTACAATTCAGTCACTATTATTAGGTTACTAACTTGTTACCAAGCTGCTAATAAGTTACTGCTTTCTAGTATTGACTAATTTTCTTTAAATTATTCCTGTTTCAAATTACACGAATGTTACTACTTAAGCTCGCGTCTTCGCAATCCATGGTAAGTCTACGTACTTACAAAGCTAAAACCCGGGGCTCGATTCCCTGCGGTGGATACAGCCCAGTGTAGCTTTGCTATAAAACAAAACAAACATATCTTTATTTCAACCTGCCATACGAATAGTAGCTTTCACCATTTAGGTCACCATATATATGTTTATTTATTTATTTTTTACTATCTGCAAAATGTGATTTACTATCAGGTTACTGAAAGATTATTTTAACATAGTGCTATTCTAGAGCAGTCCATTAGTAAGAACAAGTAGGATTTTACTGTCAGTTCTCGTGATCCTTACACTTCTTCAGTTGCTTTTTTTTTTTTTGTTACTGAGTAAGTACTCTAAAGTGATACCGTAGGAGGCGCTAATTCAGTATGCATTTTTTCATACCAGTGTCTGGCTATTTATGCACCAAATTGCTTGTGCGTCCATTACTTTGCTGGTTCCAGAGCCCTTAAAAACATATGAGCCATAAGAAAAATATATAATGAAAAAAAAAAACAAGTCAATATTGCAATTAATTCCTTTAATAACTGCGAGGGATTTCCTGTGTATTTTACATAAACATTTTAAGGAAATTCTTCACAAAGAGAGAGTAGAAATACAAAATATATAAATTACTTAATAAGTTACAATAAAGTGTATAATGTGAGTGTTAATGTAGAACATCGCATCATTCACAACTTATAGTGTTTCCTTTAAACTGATTTCTATATCTTTTGGAAGTGACTCATTACTTTAATGCGAAATTTTAAGAATCAGTGCGTCAGAATTTATAGTAGATTAACATACGTTGATATTTATATCCAGTGTTGGTGCGTTATGTTAAAACGATTTTGAAAATGCAAATCAGTAAGTCATGTGACAGTCACAGTCAACATAAAGTTGCGGTGGAACGGAATGTATTAGAACTATAATTTGACATTGTTTGGTGTTACGTGGGTAGTGCGATGCCACCGAAAATTGATCGGTTTTGGGAAGCGTATGTAATAGTTCTTTTCGACGCAAACATTCATACAGTGAGGTCATTAAGATGTGTTCAGATCGAGGTCTCATAACTTCTGAGGGGAGATATCCTTTGTACTTAATACTTTATACAACAAAAGGAAGACTTTAAGCCTCCTGAAAAAGACCTTAAACAACACATAACCTGATCAAGAAGGATCTCCGTCTGGAAAAGCGACACAAATTACAAATATACAAGTTGCTTCCGTGATCTCATCCATCTCATACCTCAAGCAGCTGGAGAATTAGACGGGTATTCATGCTGTTACATATGAAGATGTACCTTTAGTGTAATAAGACTGCTGAAACAGTCGCTAGGAAGCAATTATCCTCGTACATTAGATGGATTATGGAAAGCCAGCAGGGAGTAGGGGTGATTTTTGGACGTGACAGCCTTACGAAAGAGTCTTTTGCAATAGAAATTACGCTCCAGAACTGTTATAAAAATGTACGATCATCAGGCAGAGCATGACCGGACATGACGATATGGACTGTAACGACATGGTGAGGCTCCAAAATCGTTTTAACATGACATGCTCAATCTCTGTAGTTCTTATAATATCCGTGACTTCAAGTTTTAATTTTGTTGTAATTCCTAAAGAACTTTTGTATTAAACTTGGATATTCTGTAAATTTCAAAAACAACATGCAATTTCTTTTTTAACGTATGGTGCTTCAACAGCAGTAACAACTTTATAACTATTATTCAAAACAATTTAATATAATATTTTTTATTCTCACCACCAGACTGCCAGCTGGGAAATGGATCCTATGAGATTGAGGAAAGATGGCGGCCGGACTTGGGTCCTCCTTTTGGTGTTCTGTACTGTGTACACTGCGAATGTATAGCAGTAAGTTCCATTTATTTAGAACACTATGTGTATTTAACAACTTATTTAAGGGGGCATTATACTTTCGTCAACAACAGGGCTAAGTTGTATTCGTCTTTCATTTGGTAATTTTGTTTTAATTAAACGATAAGATATTTCATATACCTTAATGTTTTCATTCATATTAACTTAGCTGGCTACTTAGAACTAAACAAAAAATTGACCTGGTAATGAGTACAGTTAATTGAATAAACTGTTCTTACTTTCTTACTCATAAAGTTTATTGTGTACATTTGTTCGGTGTAACTCGGTGATAATTCTTAGGTGAATTAGGAGTCACACTGAATGTAAATTAAGTTTTACAGCACATAAATAAAATGATAGAATATTAGTAGTACCAAGTTACTTTATTTTGCTATGTTTATAATGATCCCCCTACTGTTTGAGTTATCCCCCGATGGAACAGCGGTAAGAAATTTTCTGAAAAGTTTTCACTTAGCTCTACAATCAAAAGTAGGCAAAACTGGTGAATTAAATTGTTTTCTGAATAAAGCAAAATTTGCCATTTTAAAATCCGGATTAGAGTAATAAGCATATATATTTTATGCCTAATGAGAAAAATATGTAAACAGAAAAGACTAGTTTGTTTCTTCTTTTCATTTTTTATCTTGGCTAAAAATTACCGTGTTTTACGTCTTTGCTAAAAATTACCGTGTTTACGTCTTTGCAACTGTTGCTTGCGACATTTTGTTATACAAAACATTCAATGGAATATTTGTTTATAAATATTACGCTCACGAATTACTTCTAAACAATCTTAAGTTGAATTGTGTGCGTATGTTTTAATGATGAAAACAATCCTTCTAAATAATCTTAAGTAAAATTTTATATACTTGCGTTTCAATGATGCAACAATCTTCAAATAAGCTAACAATTACTCCTTTAAATTATTTTGACACTGTTCCTCAATCGAGTAACAATTAGCATCACAATAATCCGAAACCTTTAATATTTAATAAAGTGTTTACCAGTTCATTGTGATGTTTCGTCACACGTGCTCTACCCTAAATAAGATCACGCTTTGCCACCTTTGGTGTTATATAAAACGTAATGCTATATAATTGAAACCAGTATGTTAGTGTATGATGTAACCCTAAAAAAGAAGGCACAATTAAAAATAACCCTAAAGCAATTTTAAATAAAGTATCTATCGTTCAAAAAGTCGGTAGCCCTTCAATATCCTGTGGATGCCCATGGCTTAGTCTGACCGAACTCTAGCGGGCCTTTTGAAACATTCATTTTTTTTTTTTTTTGTTAGTGTCTAGTTAAAACTTGTTGATTATTAGTACTTGCATTAAAATGCAATTAATATTTTGTATATACAGAGAAGTCTTACAAATAAACTATCAAAACGTAAGATAGCTAACGTGGTACTTTGTATTTATGGCAAAGCTATTAAAGCTGTCTGCCGCCGTTTCTAATTTTGTACCACAGCCTAAAGTGCGAGGGATATTTTGGGGTATCGCACGGATTCGAACACGGATCGCCAGCTCCGAAATCCAGAGCTATGTGTTATTATAGAGATAACCACAACATTCATTTTTCTCCCTATAACTTTTGCTACCTTACTGTGAAAGTTTTGGCACAAACAAAATAGTTTTCTATTGTTCCCTAAACGCGCAAAAGCTACTACTGTTTGTACTACTATGTCTTCTATGTATCTTTTATGGTTGTTAAAGTTTAAAAGATATTCGCGACATGATTCTGAGATGTCTTGTTTTGATATATATTAACGGATGACAAAGCAAAGTTTAAAGTACGTTTATCAGTCTTTACGCACTCGGTTATTTAAAATGTTCCTACAAAGCGTTATTTAGCACTGAATTATTAATTAATTTGGACGTAAGTTGCCAAATTACATCAGTCTCATATAGGGCCAAAACAGCCAGAATGAGGAAACTGTTGTTTTCTTAATTTATTTCTTAACAACTAGTAGCAAATTATGACGATTTAATCTTAGTTAGAATTTCAATATTTACCAACAAAAATGCCCAACTGAACATTTGCCACAACAGCTTCTCCTTCACTGAAAGCTGTGATTTTATTTAATTTGATTAATACGTACTTCTACTTGTTAAATGTGAGATTTCCTTAGTTTTCAGAACATGTAGGAGTAGATTTGAGATATGCAGAACCTCTTGGAATAAAGTATTTAGTTGTGGAAGTTTGCTGAAACAGGTACTCTGGAATTGTTTCTTAGTAATAACATCGCAATACAAGAAAATATTGTTAGTGCAACATTATGTGTAACGTTTACGTAGCGGAAGTTTTGTAATTGGGTATGATTTTCTGTCGATTTCACTTGCCTGTAATGTTTTTCTTAATTGTTAATTAGCAACACGTACTTGAATATAACACAGCATTAATTATATCTAGTGTGGTAATTAGAAAATAAGGATGATAACATTTCAATGACACGTCTTACAGGTTAAGATAATATCGAGTGTTAACAACTTTCATTCAGTGCAAATAGGTATCATTCAATGGAAGTATGTAATGATGTGTAAAGTTTATAAACTTTCATTCAGTGCAAATAGGTATCATTCAATGGAAGTATGTAATGATGTGTAAAGTTTATAAAGTTCTGTTATATAAGTACATCACAAAGATTAAGCTATGTCCAAGTTTTTGATTTGAAACAAAAGGAAGTTTAGCTTGAGTGATCTGAATGCATTCTGTATTGTTGGAATCATTGATAGAGATTGATGATGGTAATGTAATGTTGTTGCCACTGTTAAGATCAGAATATATTTCCTCGTTTGTATTTTTTAATTACAGAGAGTTAACCACACTTCATAAGAACGATTTAAATATGCTATTGCAGTGGTCAGTCTTCGCAAATGCCAGCCACGACGCTATACGGACGATATCTTCAGCATCAATATATTTATTTCACGACGAATTCTTGACCATTCAACATTGGACTGTTGCCTTAGGTAGACTCATTACACAGCCCTTATCAAAGAAGAGTAATCCTATTGAAATTGATCTAGAACCAAAGGACATAGCTAGGAAGTTTTAAAATCACACCATAAGCCAATCGGAGAAACTATTTTATCCTTAAAGTGAAGGCTATGGTTACGAAAGAGACCATTCAACGAAAACCTTATTAGAATGAAGTTGGGTATATCTCCTGGCACGTTTTATAAGATAGTAAATAAAGATTTGAAGTTAACGAAAGCTCACAAGCTTCCAGTCACACCTTAAACTCACTGTTGTTTTGTTTTTACCAGAAAGATAGCTAAATAAACTAGAATATCACCAATCCCATTTCACCACGTACTAGTAAAGTCCTTAGATGTAGCTCCAATAGACTTTTGTTCATTTGATCTGCTTAAGCCTAAACTTGGAGCTCACGTACAGTTCTATGGAAGATGTGTGACGTTAGACTCACGTCACCGTTTTTCAGATAAGCTTGTTACAAGGGAATTATGGTGTCAGGTAATTATGGTTACCAGATTGATATTATCAAATAACGTTGGAGAAAGTAATTACAAATGAAGTATGGGACCTGAAACATTGTTCTCATAAAGTGAGGCATTTAAATATGCCCCCACTGCAAATGCTACTCCTAACCAAACACACTCATACACCGAAGTAGACAATTCTTATTTGATATTCATTTTGTTAATCTTGCCTGCCTAGTAAACACTTCTGCTATCATCCATTGTTATTTTGTAGCAGTTTCTAAATGCAAATCATGAATTTTAAATTTACAGAGAATATTCCAACATTATAATTCAAACCCTTAGATTTTTGTTTTTTTTTGTTTTTCATAACACTTTATTTTATTCTGACTGTAAAAGCAAAACAAAACAAAAACAAACTTACTTCGGTTATTTAGCAAGCTATAACTTTATTATACATACTATAAGACTTATTGTGCTTCGAAATGTCCTAACGACAACAATCTCTGAATTACCTGTGCCACCAAAACTAGCAACTACAATAAATAAACCCTTTTTTATGTGAAACTTGATAGAATTAATCTAAATTCAGTGACTTTTAAAAGCGGGAGAATGCTTAGTCCGAAGCGATATTACTCCCCTAGGGATGCCTACAACTCTAAGAGATTATTGCCTTGAAAGCTAAATTCATTAAGTTCCACATCATGGATAAATATCCTCTTTAATTAAGAAATCCCAATCTACCAAGATGCCGGCCCAGCATGGCCAGGTAGTTAGGGCACTCGACTTGCAATCTGAGGGTCGCGGGTTCGAATCCCCGTCCCACCAAACATGCTCGCCCTTTCAGCCGTGGGGGGTGTTATAAAGTGACGGTCATTCCCACTATTCGTTGGTAAAAGAGTAGCCCAAGAGTTGGCGGTGGGTGGTGATGACTAGCTGCCTTCCCTCTAGTCTTCCAATGCTAAATTATGGACGGCTAGCGCAGATAGCCCTCGTGTAGCTTTGCGCGAAATTCAAAACAAACAAACAAACTACCAAGATGCCAACAGCTAAATAAAAGAAGACAATAAAATCCCTGAGCATTAAAAAGGGCCCCATATCAAGGATGTGAAACCTACTCCAGTAACCATCAATAAACTTAAATTTTCTCCTCTTCCTCATCTTCGCAACTTATTCTCCGGCTTCTCTTTGGTCTTATTTACGCTCTCCACCTTTCCTCTACCCATCAATATGAACTTTATCTTCCTATTACCAGTTATCTACCCCATCTTTACCCCTCACGGTCTCTCCAATTCTTAGTACGTTCACCTGAAATAAACCTTTAGGGTGGTTGAAGAGGGATCTCAATCCCTGAACATCCTTGGGGGAAATCCTTCACCAACAAATTTCATATTCTAATCCTAACGACAACACATCGAAGAACATCAAATTTCATATTCTGATCCTAACGACAACACATCAAAGAACATCAAATTTCATATTCTGATCCTAACGACAACACATCAAAGAACACGATGTGATGAACGTATACGATTTGTTCCCTGAATAATAAAT